GGGCGTGGGACCCGATTCTGGCCAATGAGATTCAACCCGGTACTTTAGCTGGAGACTATTGGGAACGAGGGCTTTTCTTCCTGCTTAGGCAGCTGCACTAGCAAGATACAGTCTCAGAGCTTCTGGAAGCCGTGTTTGCCGCCACACCCGAAGAGGCTGCTTGTTCAGCCTACACTGAAGAAAGCAGATATAAGGCATTAAGAAAGAGAGACTGAGAGGAAAGGAAAGAGACTAATCTGAAAACACTTGGATCAGGCCACACCTGAATACCTACCTACTCCTGGATTTTCCAGTTACATAAACTAATACATCCCCTTTTTTGATGAGGCCATTTTGAGTTGGCTTTCTAACTCAACACTTGTAACCAAAAGAATCCTGAGTAATACAGCTCCCTCCCTTAAAAGTTCTTCCTCTCTGATCGGGATCGAGTCCTGAATCGGGCTCCCTGCTCAGCGGAGAGTCTGCTTCTCCCTTTCCCTGTCCCTGCTGCTCCCCGTGCCTATGCTCGCTCTCTATCAGATAAATAAATAAAAAATCTTAAAAAAAATAAAATGTAAGTCAAATCATGTTATTCCCCGCCCCCCCCCCCCCAAACCCCCCAGGGTTTCCCTCCGTGCCCACAGCCGCATTCTAACAATGGCAGCTGATACTTATACAGCTCTCGTTAGTTGCCAGGCCCTGAGCCAGGCACCTTCCTTACAAAAACTCATGGAATTCTCATGACGTGACTATGAGGCAAATACTATTATCATCCCCATTTTACAGATAAGAAAACTGAGGTGCAGGGAGGTTCAATAACTTGCCTGAGTTAACATGGATTAAAATCCAAACTTTTTATCAAGGCCCAGAGCCTTCTACCCCCAGGTCTCTGCATGGCTGCCCCTGTCTTATTAGTTGGGTCCTGACACCAATGTCACCCTCTGAGAGGACTTCCCACATCAGCCAGTTTATAATGCTCCCCACTCTTTATGACATCATCATTTTTTGCTTCCGTATCACTTAAGCATTTTATTAAGTTCTCTATTCACTTT